AGCTACCAGGTCCTGAGGTCACCCACTCCAGAAGGCCCTGAGGTCATGCACGGGGAGGGCCGGCGGCAGCCGCACGGCCCAAGCAACCACCCACACGGGCTGGAAATGGTGGGAGAGGGCAGAACGGCAGGAGGCCCTGCCATGCCAGCCCTCCTTGGCTGGCCACCCAAGGGAGAGTGCGACAAGTGGCAGGCGTCCCAGTGAGTGGACAGAATGAGCACAGGGAAGGGCAGGCTGGGAAGGCGGACGCACAGATGGGCCCAGCACGGCTGCCACCAATCTGCTCTTGGGGGGAGGGAAGCAAATGAAGAAATAAAGTGACCACCCTTCTGCAGAGTGCTGGCAGGAGCTGGAAACGCAAACGTGAGCCCCAGCCCCTCCCCCGCCATCACCAGGTCCCCTTGGTCCAGCAGCAAGACCCTGGCCTCTGCCAACACGAGACTCCAGCACACTGTCCCTGCTCTGGGCTCTCTTTCAGCCCCGTGGGACAGCCTCATAATGATGAAGACTCCCTCCCCCCCAGGAATGTTGGGTTTCTGGCTTCTCACTGTCCCCGGGGCCCTTGCAGAGCTCAGCCGGCCACTTCTCTGCACCTGCCAGGCGTCCCAATTATTAACTCAGCCTCCCCAGATGCTGCTGGGGGTAGTGAGGCAGCTGCCCCCCACCCCAGCAGCGGCAGGGCCTGAAGCCCGCACCCTCTTCCAGAAGGGGCATCGGGGACCTGGCATTGAAGAAAAAAACCCACCTTTTCTCCTTGACTGCTGGAGGGAGGGGGCAGGAGCAGCCAGGCCTCCCCAGGCAGCCAGATCTGCTCCAGCCCTGACATGGACAGAGAACTCGGGGAACTGGGGGCGCCCCCCACACCAAGGCCCCTGATATGGGCACGCGGCAGCCTCTGACTTTCTATTAACTGCGAGTTAATCTGAGTTATGTAACTGCCACTCCCCACTCAGCGGCCTTATGACTCACCGACTCCTTTGAGTTCCTGGAAGGGGGTCTTAGAGAGTCAGTGGGCCCCAAGGCTTGTCGGCTCCAGCTCCAGCAAGCCCCGGCTCCTGCCTCCCCCTCGTGTCTGACTGGCATCGGGCAGGAGAAACCCTCTCGAGCCAGACTTCAAACATGGAAATCTAGATCAAGGATATATTTGGCTTTCCAAGCTAATCTTTACATCAATTTGGTCTCTACTGACTTGTAGCCCTTTGAAGAAAACTTGGCAACCACCCATATGGAAAAGCGATGACTCTTACGTAACCCCAGACAGGAGCCCCTGGGCTCTGGAAGGTGCGGCAGCCCCGGGTGGGTGGGGCCTGCTATTTACCCATGGCGCGGTGGCCTGGGGAGCGGCTTCTATCCACATGCCCAGGCAGCGGAGTTTGCCTGGGAGAAGCCCCGGGAAGTAAAGGCATCAGGATGCAGGCCGGCCCACCTGTGCCAGAACATCTTGCTGGCGCCCAGGCCAGTAAGCTGGGGGACAACAAGGCCAGGCTGGGCGACCACCACTGCCACGGACACCTGAACCACCCCAGCGTAGAGGATGCAGGTCACAGTAGGGACACGGCTGTTCCCTCTCCGGAACCCCGGAGCCAGACACCTCGGGGAGGCCTGGACCTGTCTCCACTTGTGAGCTGGCTGGCCTTGCTCCCTGCTTACCGCCCTCTTGGACGCACAGAAGAAAAGGAAACAGGTGATGACAGTAAACCAACAGAAGGGCGAGGAGGAGCCTGCCGGCCCCTTCTCCTCTTGGACTGTGGCTCCCCTGGGTGGGCGTGGCAGGAGGGGAGGGGGACGTGCCCCAGTGCTGGGAAGATCTGAGCTGCCTCCCCGAATGGACCTTCATTCCAGCATCCCTGTCCCCAGTGAACATCCCCGCCGCTGACAGGCGATGGATTCCGGCTGCAATCAATTTGGTAGCAGCAGCTGGAAATGGGCACGAGCCAGGTTTCACCAGGAGGGCGATGTCTGTGGACAGAGCGTCTGACTCCATCCGTCCTCTTGAAGCCTCCGCACGGCCCGGCTGCTGGACTTCAGAGGCGGGGATGGTGGCAGCCCACCCGCTGGGTCCGGGTGGTGAGGCCCGAACATGGTACCGCGCGCTTGGCCAGAGCTCTGGGGACTGCAAAACACCCCATGGAGAAAGAAAGTCACATGACTTTGTTACACACCCACCCCTGAGCGGACCCACACACCCAGGGCCTCGGTGGGTGGGAAAACGGGCAGAGCGGCCCTCAGGAGCCCGGGCTGGGAAGCAGCCGGTGCGCTGGGGGGCCGTGGCACGCCGGAGGCCTCCTAGCAAACGCCTCGCACGCGCCCAGGCTGACGGAGCTGCGGTGCTGTGGGCTGCAGGCTCCGAGGCCACTTGAACGCAAGGCAGCCGGACTGAGCTGCGTGCTGAGTAAGCACCCCTGCAAGCCGGGCCCGGCCTCGTTCATGTCTGAGCTCTAGAGCAGCTGGTCCAGAGACCAGGCTGCCTTCAAGGGATACCTTTATCCATGCTTGGGGCTTTGATACGACTCCCACCAAAAAAGGCATGAAAACAGCTCCGTGAGACAGAAATCTGTTTCTGCCTCGTGAGAAGAAAAGGCTCCATGCACAGGTCCCGTCACACGCGGCAGCAGAAAACCCAGCCCGGACCTTGTCGCTCAGGGTCCCGAGCAGAGGGCTTGTTGCTCAGGCACTGCTCCCCGCTGCCTTCCACAGACCTGGGCTCCGCGCTCTTCATCTGCCTGAGAAATCAGCTTTGAAGCCGGGGAGCGGGAGGTGCGGGGCTCACCCTGGGAGCTACAGAGTGGCTTGTAAGCAAAGCTGACGAGCTTTCTCCAAGGAAGAAGTGCATTTCCAGGGCTGGGCAAGCAGTCCTGGCTCCGTCACTGTTACCCTTGCTTGGTGTGAGGGGGGAACAGCACAGACCCCCCCCCCCCCGGCAAGACACCTCTGCTGGCCAGGGGATGGCTTTCACAGACATGACAGAGCTCCCTCCTATCAGCCTCCTAGACAGGTGACAGCTCGTCCGTAGAGGCACACTTACAGAAAATCTCTTGTGCTAACACTGAAGAGAAAGGAAAAAAAAACACACACACACACAAAAGCTAAAGGTCAAACTTCAAAATCACCAACAGAACTATTTCCTACAACAAAATCCCAAGGAGCTCTCACTGGGGGATGCTTTAGAGAACTGTTCTCGTGAATTCTGAACCAACTGAGGTTTTCTTCCATGGTATTTACTCTTCTCTTCCCCTTACCAAAATGTACTAATCTCTCAATCTAGCATCTTAGTAATAAAAACAAAAGAAAAACCCACGGAACTTGCCAGCAATCAGTCAGAAATCAGGCAGCCAGAAAGTAGCTCAGGAAGAAGCATCTGGGAGCCAAAGGTGCACCCAGAGCCAGGGCGGGGACCCCCAGATCTTTCCCAAGGCCCTCCGGGGCTGGCCAAGCCTTGAGAGGCGGATGGCAGGACTCCGGGAGGGGTCACCAAGCGAGGCAGCCCTCGCTCCATTTTGTCTGCGTCCCAGAACAGGAGCCTAAACCTTATCTCGTCCAAGCACACGGTATCGATTCAGGACGCGCCAATACCCAACAGATCCGCTCCACCATTAACCTTGTAAAGCCCACGCTGGCAAACAAGATCCAGCCACCAGGAGAAGGAACGCCACTTTCCAGAAAAAGGCTGATAATAACATTTGACAATTTTCACACGATGTTTTAAACAGTCTTTACCCCCGGGATGGGGGACTGTCTCATAAATCAAAGGCTGCTAGAGAACGCGTGGTGCCTCTGTCCGCTTCCGATTTCTCAAAATCAGGACGCGCACTTGAGTCTCTCCCGCTCACTCCCCCCAGCTCCGATGGGGCGGCGGTGGGGGCGGCGCAGGCAGCCGCTCCAGTACCTCGCGGCCCTTTCCTCCCCAGCACGGGAGCGCAGTGCATCCCAGTGGACAAACTTGAGAACCGCACCGCTTTCTCCGCCTCCGCCTATGTCCTCCTTGCTTTGGCTTGCAACCCCGGACCCAAAAACGCACAAGCTCCGCGAAGCCCCCCACTCTCCCCTCCGCCCCACCCGCAGGCGGGCGACGGTCTGCAGGCAGCCTGCCCGGCCACGGGGACAGCTACGCACGACTGGGCTTTAAGCCGCCCCTGGCACGGATTGAAAGCCCGAGCTCCACAGCAAGCGGGCAAAGTTTGCCGGAAAGGGTCTTCCTGTGTACCCCTGCCGCGAGTTCCAGGCTCGACCCCCTGGCTCCAGCTGGCCCTGGAGTCTGGACTCAGACAAGCCCCGGGGCGCTCCCGCGGGTGTTTGCGTGCGTGGGTGGGTAGGGGGTGCCCGCCCGAGCTCCCCCAGAGCCCCAGCGTCTCCCGCCCCAGCTGCCCGCCAGCTGTGCGCGCCGGTCGGGCCCAGAGGTCACCGGCAAACAGCTGGATGGGCAGCTGGGAGCCCGGGAGGCCCCTGCTCAGCCCTGGGGCCCCGAGGAAGGGGAAGGGAGGGCGGAGTGGCTGTTTGATTTTGGTTCCCTCCAATTCCGCCTTCCAAGCTCTCGCCGGGAGCCGCGAGCCGGCAGCCGGGAGCCGGCAGCCGGGAGCCGGCAGCCGGGAGCAGGGGGAGCTCTAGCTTTCTCCGGCAGCCTCGGCCCCCGCCCTGGGTCCACGGCCCGCCGGGCCCCGGGGAGGAGACGCGCCGGGGCGGCAGGCCAGGACACTGCGCTGCTGGCGCCGGGAGCCGCGGACTTGCCGGGCCAGCCTCGCCGCACGAGGAGCTGAGGCGGGCGCCCCTGGCCGGACCCAGACGCGCGCAGCCCGGGAGAGCCGGCCGCTCCCTGCGGGGACGCGGAGCTCCGAGCTCCGGACTGGCACCCCGACCGACTCCTGGGGCCCCTCCTGGCAGCTAGCGGGGAGCGGGGAGGGGTCCCTTTATTTGCAACGTTGAGGAGAGCGCCGCTCCAGCCCAGCCCGGCACCCACGCACCCACGCACCCACACGCACCCCGGCGCTGGCCGGGTCGCTCACCTGAGTCCTAAAAGCTGTTGAATCCACATGGTCACGTTTCGGGGAGCGGAGCCTCAGACCTTGCTCGCCCCGGCCATCTGCGCGGCGCCCGCGCCCGCTCGCTTCCGTCCCGCGGCGCCGGTCTCCGGCTCTCGGTCTGCCGCCGCCCGCCGCCCGCCGCCCGCCGGCCGCGGGGCGCAGAGCGAGTCAGAGCACGGCCGCGCGGGGCTCCATGCCGGCCAGCGCGCCGCCGCCGTTGGGGCGCATGGCTCAGGCGGGGCGGCCCGCGGGGGCGCACATCCTCCGGCCGGGGCGCGGGGCTCGCCGCCCCTCCGGGGGCGAGCCAGCGAAGGCGGCAGCGAGGCGGGGGCGCCCACGGCCGGCCCGGGAGGGGCGCGCTCCGGCGCTGCGGCCGCGCGGTGAGAGTCGGAGGAGACGCGGCTTCGCCCTCCGGGGCGGTGGGGAGGGAGGCCGGGCGGCGCCGCCGCGCACGGTGCGTGTCTCGTCGCGCGGCTCTCGCCTCCGGTCCGAGCCCCGCGCCGAGGGGGCGGCGCGGTCCGGGGGTGCGGGCGGCGGCGACGCGGAAGGACGCGGGTCGCCTCCGCGCGGCGCCAGGTCAGGGGGCTCTGCCGGGGGTGCGCCGCCGGCCGGCACCTCTCAAGTTGGCCGGGGGCTCCGTCTGAGCGCTCGCTCTGCAGACGGCCGCGGCGCCGGAGGCCGGCAGGAGGCGGGCGCGGGAGGCGCGCGGGGCGAGGGCGCCGTGGAGCGCGGGGCGTGGGGACGCGCGGCGGCGGCGCCGCGCCGAGGAGGCGCGCGGGGATCCCGGGGCCCCGCCGCCCGCGCCCACCGCGCCCGCCGCAGAGCCGCCCGCGCCGCTCGGCCACCTCCCTCCGCGCGTCTGCCTCTCCGCGCGCTCACCCCCGCCTCCCCGAGCGGGTCCCAACTCCGCCCGCCTGGCCCGGCTCACGTCACCCGCCTTCCCCGCCCCTCGAACTGGAGCCCGAGCCCCCTGCCCGGCGCCGGCTGCCGCTCTCTGCCCCCGCCTCACCGCGCGGAGCTGTGCCCGGCCCCGGCGACACATCAGGCGGGGTCCCCGGCCGCCCTTTCCCCATCCCCAGCCTCGTCCCAGTCCCCACCTTGGGAAAGGCTCGGGAGAGGCCGCGGGCTCGGATTGGACCGCCGGGCGCCGCCGGATGGTGTTGCCACGGTAACCGGATGGCCTGCGAAGCAGTTTGAGGTTCCGACCCATTTACGGGTGCGCCGGCTGGACCTGGAGAGCTAATTTGGGGAGGGGGCGTTCCCGAGGGAGCACTGGCGGTGGGGGGCGCCTGGAGCGAGAGGCTGCGCAGAAAGTTTCCTCCAGGCGGAGCTGCACCAGAGGCGCCGCCAGAGTCGGGGATGCAGGAGGGTCTGCGTCTAGGGGTCCCTCTCTTCCCGCCTCCTCGCCCCCCCCCCCCGCCTTGAGCCCCGGCGGAAGAAGCCCCTGCGTTCCAGGTCAGAGCCCAGCACTTTCTGCCCCAGCCCAGGCCGGACCTGAATGTCCAGGCTCCGGCAACCTCTGGGGCTGAGCGTCAGGCAGCAACCGCTGCTCGGCCAGGCCCTCGCTCCCGAGGTGTCGTGGAGAGTTCCGAGTCCTCGGCCTCTCAGAGACCCCGTCGCAGCGAGTAACCCGGCCTCATTCCCATCCCACGGCTTCCCCTTGCCTTCCTGGTGAGGCTGTATTTGCTGGACAGTGGCTGGAGGAGGAAGGGCCCTCGCTGCTGGCCTTTCACTGAGAGAAGTGACCTACAGTGAACCGCTCTGCCAAAGGCCAGACGTGGTCTGCCCCCCTGGGAAACCACCCGCAAAGCCCTGGGTATCCACTCGGTGCTCCCGAAAGCCCTGCAGCGTCGCAGGCCTTCGGGATCACCTGCCACAGCTCTTCTGTGGCAACCGTGGAAGCTGGTCCCCGGAGCAGAAGGAAGGGTAACTAATACCAGACCTGACCCACGCAGTGGCCTCCCTCAGCCAAGCTCCAGAATCCCCCCAGTCTTGTCAGCACAGACACCCCGCTTTACTGGTGGGGCCTCCCCGAGAAGGGGCAGCTGGTGGGGGGGCAGATCGGCCCTGTGTGGCTGGGACTTGGACTCCCAGGCAGGCCCTTCATCCCTGGGCTTCGGGTCTTGAAAGCAGGAGCCTGCTGGGCCCAGATAGCAGGTGTGGGTGACCGGCGTCCCCACGAAGATCCCAGAGGGCAGAGGCAGGAGGCAAGGACCTGTGGTGGCAAGAACCCAAGGTTTGCCATGAGCACACCAGCCAGTGCTGTTTACTCACTGAGGGGGCCAGGGTGTCTGCTCTAACTCTCTGACCTCGTTTCCTTCTCTGCAAAATGGGTTTCATTTTCGTGGGGAGTAAATGATGGGCCCTCACACAAAGCATCACTATTAGTGTTCACAGACGCACCAGGCTGAGTCGGCACTTTGGCTGCCTGGCCCTTCCTGAGTGGTCTTCCCCGGGAGCCTTCTCCCTGAAGAGTTGGGGGAACAGAGCCCACCAAGGGGGACCGGGAGGTGCTGGGCCCAGGATAGTCAGGGGAGAAGGGGGTGCCCACAGTGCTGCCACCTAGCGGGACACAGTGGGGGTGCTGCAGGAGGGAGGCCCTTTCAGGAGCCAGAATAACCCTCTAGTAGGCCCCTGGCCAGAAGGTCTGGGGGTGGGGGAAGGTACTGATCCCCTCTGTTCCAGGGACCCCTTCAGCAGCCGTGTGCAAAATGGGGACCTTGTCTCAGAAGGTTCATAAACGCATTCGCTAAAATGCACTAAGAAGTGTATTAGGAAGTCAATTATATTGTAATGCGTCACCAAACAAACCAAATTTTTGAAACAGCAATGTACGTCCTTTAATATTATGTCAAGTAATGAGTGGGCGTATCCACAGCATTGCATGATTTAGAAGGAGAGACACGCACCAATGATATTTTGAGACATCCAAAATGTCCGTCACGTGATGGGGGGTGCCGGCAGGTTCTGGGTTTGAGAGCAGGTCCTAGGGACCTCGTGCCCCTGCGGCCTGTTGCCTGCCCTTGTAATGGAAGGAAATCTTGGATTTCAGTTGGAATTTGCAAGAATAAACATATCATTTTTCCCCACCCATGTCTAAAGACCCCTTGGGTTCTATCCACGTAACCTGGGGGTCCCCGGACCGCAGTATGACCCCTGGCTAAAGAGGACAGTGCCCCGAAAACAGCAAGGGAGGAAGCTGGCAGAGGTAGCGGGGGACACAGTCGGTGTTCACCAAGTGAGGGCAGGCTCTGCCATCTCTGCAGACAGGGGCATCCCTCCGACCCCCAGGCCCCAGCACGTCAGTAAGGACTGGAGCACACTCGAGATCTGTTTTCCCTCTGGGCGCTGATAACTATGGGCACAGCTCCCTCCAGAGAAAGCACCCACCTGGTATTCTGTTTGTTTTTGTATTTTTCTCTTGATGAAAATGTTGTCGTTTTTTACATGCTGTAAAATAATAAAGCCAGGACTTCTATGTCACCATTAATGTAATTGATTTTCTGTACTTGGAGACCATCTCATATTTCTGACCTTTTCATTTTCCTCCTCTCTTGGGAATTGGGAGGGTGGGCGGACGTCATCCCACACCCAACACAGACTGTCTCTCTCTCTCTTTCTCTCTCTCTCTCTCTCTCTCTCACACACACACACACACACACACACACAGGCCTCCAGGCTTCAGCAAGTGCAAAAGGGAAGTTCTCAGTGGAAGCCGCTCTGGAAGGCTCTCCTGGCCCCCTCCCCAGGAGCAGGCCCCAACCTGAAACCTTAGAATCAGCTTGCAGCCCACTGGTCTTTCAGAGCCCCTCCCTCTGCCCTGCCCTGCCCTATTTTCCCAACCAAGGAGCAGCTGACCCCCTGCAGGGGTCCTCTCTGAAGCTCTCTTAGGCCATTTACCTAATGGCCTTCACACAGTCGACTATTTTTAAAACCCATCCAAAGCCAAATTGAGATGGCATTGTTCATTTTTCTCCCAAGGAGGTAAATGTGTCTTAAGCATGACATTTGATTAAGTGGCTAAGTTTGTGATTTTAAATGGAAGGAAAAATGCTGATTAAAATTATTATAAGTTTCTTTAAAGCATTCACACTACTACTTCTCTGCCCCCTGCCTTACTCTCTCCCCCACACAAGAAAACTTGCCTGTGGTGGGGTGGAGGAGGGGAAGGAATTCCAGGTCACTTTGCCTTCTGGGGGGAGGGGCGGTGCCCAGGCTGCAGAATCCCTCCCCTGTCCTCTATGCCATTCCCCAGGTGAGACTTGCACACAGCTGCAAACGCCACCCTGGTGCGAGAGCGAGGCCGCCATGTCAGGGGCCGGGGAGAGAAGCCGACCGAGACTCCCGCAGACAAAATGACTCACAGGACAGTCAGCCCAGCCCAGGGGCAGCAAGAGAAAAATGCCAAGTCTCTGCGGTCCATTCAAACGGGCTTGTGTATCTGAAAGAGGAACAGTTGTTTCCTCCGCTTGTTCTGTGCGAGAGATGGACTGTGAAGGCAGGTGGGAAAGGGACTGCCTGAGGATTTGAACTGGCCTGGGATGGAGGGGAAAACCCCACCTCAAGGCTTTTGGGGCTTCACTGTGATGACAGGTCGGCTTCTATTTAGATGGGCAAAGATGAGGAGAAACAGGAGAAAGACTAATTTGCAAATTGGAGTGACCATTTGCACACAGTCTCTTGGCCGTGTGGAGTCTGGAGATTGGGGGCCTGCAGGTGGAGAGAAGAAAGAAGGTACAGAGATGGGCAGAGGCATGTAGGGAAGCTGGTCAGGGACTGGGGTGACCCCAGGAGGGGCATAGTGCCCAGCTGAGTCCTCACATTTTCTTGTAACTATGGCTGAGACCAAAGTCTGAGGGTTTTGTCCCAGGCTGTGGCTCTGCTCCGAGGCAGTTGTGTTCCTGCTAAAGGTATGTCAGGGAGTGATGGAAGGGGTGGTCTCTGCTGCGGGGCAGGTGAGGGTTGGGAAGAGGCAGGCAGCGGGCCAGTGGAGCCAGAAGATCTGAGGAAAATCCACTTCCTCTCTCATACTCCAGAAGACACTGGGCCTTGGGAG